ATTGCATTGCATTGCATTGCATTGCATTGCATTGCATTGCATTGCATTGCATTTAGTAAGGCTAGGACTTTCACTAGCTGGAATTGCCACTGCAGTATTGATTAGAAGTAGTAATAGTTGGCACCATTTGTCACATCCCCAATTTCAAAGGGGAAACATTCAAAAAAATTTCTTTTAAGTATGATGTTACACATTGCTAGATTTGGTTTGCCAATTATTTAATTTAGTGTTTTAAATCGAAGCTCATGAATAAGAAAATTCTGTAATTTTATTTATAATGTCGTCAGGCTTTGGCTATTTTTTAAAGTACACTGGAGAGTGTTTCCTCTTTCCCTACTATCTGGAAGAGTGTTCGTAAAACTAGCAGTATTCATTAGAATTCACTAGTGAAGGGGTGCCTGGGTGGCGCAGGGGGTTAGAATTCACCAGTGAAGCCCTCTAGCTGAAGTTTTTGGGTTTTATATTTTGTTTGTTTTGGAAAGGTTTTTAATTATGAATTAAATGTGTTGGAAGAAAGTTGTTTTTACTATCCTTTTATGTTTTTGTGGTCTATAGCATACGTAGTGATGTCTCCTTTTTCATTCCTGATATTTGTTACTCATGCCTTCTCTTCTGTTCTTAAATTGGACTCTCTAACATTTATCTATTTTTATTACTCTTTTCAGATAGTTTGTTTTCATTATCATTTACTTACCATGAGTATTTCCAAATATATAGGGATTGTTTTCTTTACTGGAAGCTAGTTTTTATTTCTAGCTGATTAAAAGACCTATTCTGAATGATTTCTGCCATTTGAAAATCTTTGCTATTTACTTTATTTTTGTGAATAGTTTTATGAAATACCACTATGTGCTTGAGAAGATGTGTATTTCATAGTTGTGGGGTATGGTGCTCTACATATTACCACTAGGTCAGTTTTGCTTATTGTGATATTCGAATCTTCTACATATTTACTGTATTTATTTGTCTGGTCTGTTACAGAAAGAAAGTATGCTAAAGTCATCCCCCCATTAGTCAACTAATGGTTGTAGATTTGCCTGTTTCTCTTTCTGGTTCTGGCAATTTCTGCTTTCTATATTTTGAGTCCATGTTACTAAATACATGGAAATTCGGAGGTATTTTATCTTCCTGGTAAATTGAAAGTTCAAACTGAGTTTACCTCTTCGTCTCTAGTAATGGTTATTGCCTTAAAGCTAAACTTGACTGGTATTATTGTAGCTACAATTTTCTTTTGGTTATTATTTGCATGATAAATAATATCCCATCCTTTTCAACTTTCTGTTTCTCAGTGTTCTACACCTGACTTATAAATAACAGAGAGTTTTGTTTATTTAACCAGAGTTTACCAATCTTCATCTTTTAAAGCACAGTGAAGACATTTACACTTATTGTAATTGAGTCTGAGTCCACGTCAGTCTTTAAAGGTTATTAAGTCTTTAAACAACAATTTTCCACATTCCAAAAATAGCTCATTAACACCTATGAGTTTAAGAAATTTATCCTCTCTGATTCGTATACAGATGTGTAGGGATTTATGAAATCTTCTCATATCCTATTATTTCTTTGACTGCTGTATAGTGAAAAGAGATCCAGGGACTAAAATACACTAAGAACAACATATCTAATTTAGCACTTTGGGAATTTTGCCTGCAGCTATTGTCTTTATTGTGATTTACCTAATTCCAATAACACAGCATTAACAATGTATCTCTTAATATATCACTTTTACAAAATACTATAAAGACTTCATTCTTGATTGCAGGGCTGTGATTCTCAAATGAGTGTGTCAGAAATGTCCTGTAGTGAAAGTACATCCTCATGTCAGTCTCTTGAACATGGCTCCGTTCCAGAAATTCTCATTGGCCTGCTTTATAATGCCACCACTGGAAGACTATCAGCTGAAGTGATAAAAGGCAGCCACTTCAAAAATTTGGCAGCAAACAGACCACCCAGTGAGTGAAAAAAAAATTTTTTTTAATGCTTATGTTTTCTGCACTTATGGGACTCTCAGTGTTAGGGGCCTCAATCCTATCATTTAGTCTGAACCGATCAAAATGAAATGGTATAATCATCAGCTAATCTGTTTCATGTTTTCTATTTCCAGTCATTTGGGAAGTAGAAAAATTTGAAATTCAAAGTATTAATTGTAAGGTGACAAGACTTTTAATTTTTCATAGTATCTGCCGAATAAATTATCCCTATCATAGCCATTATCTTCCAATGGTAGAAAAAGTTACAGGATTTTTTAAAGTTAGTCCTATTCCACAGATATGGTCAGGAATATGTAGAGCTATTGGTATCAACAGAAGAATGATGTGGTGTTTTCAGTCTGCATGCAGTACTATGAACTAATGCAGTAATTCTGTAGTTTTTCTCTTTTCTCCATTAAGAATTTAAGAAGAAACTGTTTCTTCACATTTTTTTCTCCTTTAATATTATAAATTAGTACTGCCAGCAGAGTCTTTTCTTAAATGGCTTGGCTTTGCCTTTACCAGGACAAACAAAATAAGGAATAGTTTGATATTTCCCCTAGGTGCGAGGAGAGGAAAGCAAGATGGTGTACCTGTGCCCTGATCTATATCCCTGTCACTCCTCCCTCCTTATCCCTCTTCCTGCTCCTGAGGATGGAGGCAATTATGGGAGTGCACAGAGATTGTCCCTCAGTAGATCTCCAAAACAGTTTGTCAATATCTGTGGAAGTAAGTTGGGAACATAATAGATTCTTTATACTTCTCTGAAATTAAGGCTGTTAATGCCCTAAGCTCAAAATTTGAAAGGAAATCTTGAATAGTAATGGCCACCTTAAGTTTGCTCAAAGATTTCTCACAGAATATTTTACTCCGAGTCTCAAATAATTATTGGAGGGGAAACTTTTTCCTCCCTTGAATTAAATTAATTCATTTATCTCCAGATGTCCTCCACATTGTCTTTTTAATTCAAGTGAAAAGTCACAAAAATATATTTGGTTTTCCCTAAGTAATAATGGAAACCTTGCTTCTTACAGGTATTATGAAATGTATCTATTCCTGAATTAAAAATCAGAAGGCCAAAATTATGTGTATTTTGGATGAGTAACCTAACTCCCCTGAGTCTTTTTCCTCATATGTAAAGTTGAGGTTGTGTCTGTCACAGGGTAACTGTGAGACTCCAATCAGGCAAAGGTGCATAAAAGAAGGATGGAATTATTATTGTCCCCTTTCTCCTTTCAGAAGGAAGAATTCAGAGGGAGGAAAGAAGCAATTACTAGAATAAACAGTTTTGGAAGTGGGACCTTGGTTCTCTTTATTGATACATACTTAGAATGCAAACTCAAATGGTCTGGGAAGTTACTTAAATGAACAGACTTGGCAGGTGAAAGATAAAGAGAATGAGGCAGTGACAAATGCAGGCATGCATACCCTGCCTCAAGACACTCAGATTTGAAACTTCTGAACACTGTAACGGATAAACAAAATATCATGTGGGGTCACATCCCACCAGCAGCTCTCAGCTTGCCATTCCTGCTTTAGCTAACAGTTTAATTTTTGAACAAATATTTAACTTGAGATGCTAAAAGCTAGCAGAATGGAATGATATGCTTGCCTTTCTGTCCTTGCTCGTAACCACTCTGACAGAAACAGAGAAACCGGAACTAAAATGAAGAGAGGGCGTGGAGGCAGGGTGGATAATAAACGGGTTGAGAGATTAGCATTCGCAGCTTAGAGTAGGTGTTTTCAGGTTAAAGAGCAAGTTGGAGAAATTACCATTATTTTAGAATCAGATCTTCAGTATCAGGGTGATTAATGGTGTTCGCTGGGAGGCAGCTAGTAGGTAAATATAAGTTAACATTAAAATTAATTGTATGAAGTGGAGTATTTATAAAGGAAAATAGAATACAGTTTTATCAGTCTGTCTTATACTGTATATGTTATATAAGATTGTGACCCTTCATATATGCCTAATTCTAGGCTTTGAACTGTGTTATCAACTGAAAAATCCAAAGAAACCATGGGAACATTCAAGAGCAAAAATTTTGATAGTCCTATTTTGTTTTGTTTAACTTAATTTTTTATATTACATTGAAAGCAATAGAAGCATTTGAAATATTTAATATTGCATGGATAGACTTCAAAACTTAGCATAATAGTAGTTCTATAATGACTTTTATTCAGTCTTTTATATAGTCTAATAATTTGCATGATTCTATGTTCAATGTGCTTTAGACCAAGAGGATATCATTATAAAGATGTTCCCCCTTTAAAAGAGTGTAATTTTTGTTTAAGATTACACAATGACCTTAAAAATTCGCATTCCATGAAATTTACCCAACAACCCTTTTGTTCAACCCCTCTACCTGAATTAAAATGCTAAAGTTTTGTGTTCTTCCAACTCCAGTGAACAGTGTTTCCTCTTTAATTCTAACCTTTGACCCTCTTTCACCCAACAATTGACATCTGGTCATTATTTCTTTTACTGCTTTCCACCCCCTGTTGTCAGATGGACTGTTCTGTTGTCTAAAACACTTGATAGGTGGACAGGTTTATATAATCCGAGGTGAGTTCCTGTAGAGGCTAATTGGATGTTGTCTTTTCATGCAAAAACAAAATACCCTAAAACTTGCCAGCAGTGAAGCTGTCCACCATGTTGGTTTCCAAAAAAAATGCACATTTATTATCTGTGGTACTTTAAATAAAACTAACTTAGAATTTATCTCTGATTATGGATGATGGTATTCAGAGTATGTAAAAATAAGCAAAACTTTTTAAATTAAAGGTTTTATTTTTCATGTACTGTATTTTGATTCATACAATAGATATTTCATAAGAAATATTGCGATTTTTCATTAAAATTAATTGAAATTTTAATATGAAGTACACATGATGGATCACCGTGCTGAAGATCATTTGCATGAGTCTAAAGAACCTGAAAACACAGATGTTTGAAGAGAGGGTTTATCTCCAAAATAATCAGGCAATGAACTGTTATGTTTCACTTTGTACACTAAACATCACATCAATTTTTTTTTGTAATTCATGAAAACAGTTAAGAATACCATACTTTAAATTTCTCATTAAATTCTGCCAAAAAAGAATCCTGTAGTATTTATTTTAACGATCCAAAAAGCACATTAAATGTATTCTTGCATGAAACCAGGAGAAAGTTTTACTTGATTTTCTAAACTTTGAGCCCTTAATGCATTTGGCTTCATTTTAGCCCTTTCAGATGTTTTTAAAATATATTTAAAAACCACATCCATGCAGAGATTTTTTTGACATTTCATCCTAAGCTGTTTTGATGTCATCTTTGCATTCTTGTCTTCTTTTCCTCTTTACCATTTGCCTTCATTTCTATTTGTTTGTTTATTCTTTTTCTCTGAAAACACAGTGGAATGCTTTACAGTGTTGTGGCTAATTGAGCTTGCTAAGTGTTTATTAATGCTATGATGTCCTGCTTAGTGAAGCTAATTGGGGATGGGGTTGGGCAGGGGTGGTAGTGGGAGGTCAAGGATTGGGGGTGGGAGGGTGTGGAGGAAGGATTATGAGGTATACCTTTAAATTCTAACTATGACGTAGAAATAGTGAGGTTGAGATGTTATGACCCACAAAAGATTTGCATTCTCTGTCCTTGTCACATTTTATAAGCATCTACATCAAAATGGAATTCATTGAATTTCCATTAAACATGGTATACACCATATCCTTATAAAGACTCAGTGTTCTCAGCAGATGTCACAAGAAAGGTGTTTTGAGTTTGTTTCAAATGATATCTGTGGTATGTTGTTCTTTTTTTCCTGTAGATACATATGTCAAATTAACTCTCCTGAATTCCATGGGTCAAGAGATGTCCAAATGCAAGACTTCCATCCGCAGAGGGCAGCCTAATCCAGTATACAAGGAAACTTTTGTTTTTCAAGTGGCCCTATTTCAACTTTCTGATGTGACACTCATACTGTCTGTGTATAACAAACGCAGCATGAAAAGGAAAGAGATGATAGGCTGGATTTCTTTAGGTCTCAATAGCTCTGGAGAAGAGGAGCTCAATCACTGGACTGAAATGAAAGAGTCGAAAGGACAGCAAGTGTGTAGATGGCATGCGTTACTAGAGTCATGATGAATAGGATAACTGAGCAATTACAATCTGAGGCAGCATTATCTCTGATTGCAGCATTGCTATTTTTACCTAGTCACCATTAGAAGAGCTGTTCTCTGAAGTGTCATCCTCACCATTCTACCCGAATGCTTTAAGGTCTGTGGAAAGAGCGTCTAACACTGACATCAATGAAGAAACGATGTGTCTCTGGTAGAGCTTCTTGGGGAAATAAGACACTTGCATCATCATTGTTAACAGTCCTCCAGAGCTTTAAGAACGTGCTTTTGGTTTGAAGTTAAGTTTACTTTAGCAAAAGAGTCAGTAATTTCGTGGAAAAAAAAATAATAAAAACTGTGATTTTTTTTTTCTTTAAATCAGAATTTTTAGTCGCAACACTTTTAGGATTACCCTAAATGTTAACCAGGAAACACATATTTTGACTGGCTCATCCCTAGTGTTGGAAATGTTTCTTAATCTGAAAAAGTACATGTCCAGCTCAATCATGAGGCACATCTAATGGTAAAGGGTTTCAATTACATAGAAAATTGTTTTATTTCAGATATTTTCCCTTTGTGCACTTAGTTTCATTGTGCCTCAGTTCTTCTCAATGGCACTCAATCTCAAGTGCAAGCAAGTGTTCATTTTCATAAAGGAATTTTTTTAATATTTATTTTTTAAAAAAAGCTCATTTCTTCATTTGCCTCTGCTTTTGCCTGATCCAAAGAGACCCAGTCACTGGACTGGTCCCTTGCAAGTCTTTTAGACAGGTTGTACTGTAGAACCACGTAACTTTCTGTTGAAAGCACTTCCTGTATTCTTGTATTCCAATGTAGGAAGCTAATAGAGCAGGACTTTACTTTAAAATTTCTTTCAACAATTGACTCTTTAAAATTGTAGTAATGTGAAGATACATTTTTTACCAACTAAAAAAATATAATAGATAAGCTGTTGAAAATTGAAAACAGCTCAAGTTAAAGAAAATGTTAATTATCTGCTCTGAGAATGGAGTGACCAACACTGCATAAAGCAGGTAGCGTTCTGATAAGAAACTGTTCTCTCTAAATCTTCTTCAGTCTTACTTCAATTTGTACTTGTGATCTAAAGACTCTCCAGTTCTCAGTTTGAATCAAAACATCACGTTAAAAACAGTTCTGAGATTCCTTATGAAATTTCTAGTGACCTGTGACTAGATTTTATGAAACTTACAGATCCGTTCTTCAACGTGACGTCATCCTGTGCCTTTCATGTAAGTTACATTTGCTCATACAGCTTGAAAGTTGTATTTGCAATATTAGGCCTTCGATTTTTATAAATGTAAAGATTCCTCAGAACAGTGTCACAAGATCTTTATTTCCTCCGAAGTATGTAAAAGTTGTATAATGTGCTAATTTTTTTAAATGGCAAGGCATTTTCATTTGTTGTTTTTATATTTAGGAACTCTTATTAATCAGGAATATTATAAGCTGTTTTCTTTTTAATTTTGCTTCTTACCCAGTATATAATTTTATGCATATACTTTATTAAGTAGAATGTTTTATATATATGAAAAATACTTTCTTTCTTCTCTTTCTAATTTCTAATTAAACTAGACAAAAACATACTATTTACCAGTTACTAAAAAGCAGCATACCATTATTCCTAGTCCCAACTAAGCACTATATATTATTGTAAGCAAGGACTTGTTATTACCATGATAACAAAACCATGCATAGACATTATTACTTCGGCTTGGCTCTACTGAAAGGCCTTAAAAGAAATCCAAAAAGACCGTGAACTAATATTTTTTAGTTTAAAAAATGGCAGCTCTATGCACTCATATACACGAATTATAAGATAACCTACAGATGCTATATTGGGTGACATGAGGTTTAAGAACGTATGTTACAGAGTTACATGAAAGAGAAAAACCCATTCTTTTATTGTTACACAAATGAGCTTTTTCCAAGTTTTTTTTATAAATTAGTTAAGTTATAAAGCTAGAATGTGCATCAAATAGTGAAATATCTCATATGCATTATTTTCAGCAACAGTATGGAAAGAGATTTGAAGGTGGGTTGTAGACCTTAGTGAGAAATTGGATTTAAGCATTTGAGGCAAGGGTCTTTACTGGCTTTGAAACAACTGACTGCATTGCTAAGAACTGGGATCTTCCTAATGGAAAGAGTTAGTCTTATTTGTAGCTGTAACAAAGCCTAATCAATAGTCACATCATGAGACCAATGTAGTGCTTTCTCCTTCGGTGATGAAAAGACCTAACTCGCTGTTATTTGCTAAATCTGGCTTTCTTCAGACTCTGCCCAGAACTGTGTGTGTTTTGGTATATCATTATGAGGTTATCTGGTATAGATATCAAATCCAATATGGCTTAAAAATTAATCAACAGATTTAAAGGTTTTCAAGAAGGACCCTACCTCCACCCCAGCTGCCAAGTTCTCAATGATAATGAATTTATGTGTATGTGTATCTGTATACACACCCATGCCTACGCGCACACACACACGTAAAGGTGAAGGTGCCCTGGCTTTTTCAGATAACTAGAGAACCATTTATCAAGTTTATGGATTATTTTTCTCCTGTATATATTTACTAAAAATTATATTTGGTTTTGGGTGCTATTTGCTACCATTCTCCTCCATACACAGCAAAATATGTATCTTTTTATCTTGTGGATTGATACAACTTAGAGTAATTACTCCCCAAAATTTGTCTATTCTTTTAGAAAAAGATTAAATAGGTCTCGAGAGACCCGCTTCACTCTACTGAATCCAATGTACAAGATAGTACTACTGCTCTTTTGTGTGCTTAAATTTGCATGAAATCATAAAGGCAAAATCCTATATCTCAGCAATTTGCAGCAAATAGGGGCCCACCGGTGGGCAGCAGGTGCTGTCTCAGAAACTCGAGAAAGACAGCCCACTTTCTTGTTCTTCTCTTAAAGTCCCCTAAGTTTTATAATAAAATAAGATAGTCCGAATATAGCGATTGACTGGCATTCATGGGAGCTCCTGAGCCTGGAATTACAGGCTTTATCTGTCTCCCAAATGAGCCGCAAAATGTAGTTGCTTATTACTGCCCAGGAAACAACGTGTATTTCAAATCAGAAAAGAATTTGTTTAGTAAAATATCATCTTACCTTTCAGAAGCTTTCTTCTATACTCTCGTGTCTTCTGTACTGTCCACATTTCATGTGAAATCCATTTATTTGTCTTCTTACTATGCATTCTGTGAATTCTCTGTAATGTATTTAGTGACAAAAATAATCCATCAAACTACAATTTTAAAAAGGAAAAACCAGGAAAATATTGAAGCTACTTTGATTAGTACACACATGTTTAAGTGTAGGGCCTGGTAGGGTGGTTTCATCCAGCCTCATGCAAATCAATGCCCAGGGCTACATGATAAATCATTTTCTTGATATACCATCATTATTTTCATTTACTTAGCAAGTGAATCAGAAGCATAATCAATGATTGCAAGGTAAGACCGCATCCGAAGGATAAGAGGTCATAGAATTGAGGGTGTTAAGACGAATATGGAGACCAAATGAGATCACAGCTTTTCAAGTGAACTGAGAGGCTATTTGAAGTTTCAGATGAAGTAAGAAAAGTAATCACCAACAAATTTTTTTCCTGACATAAAAAGAAATAACATCCACTGGCCTGACATTGCCATTTGCCTACATGGACTAGATGGCTGATTCGTAGAGATTTTTCTCATCGATGGTCATTACATTATCTCACACTGATTGTTACCATCCAGAAGTTTTTATTTCTTGTTTTTCTCCTTTCACCACCCCCCAGTTCACCCTGCACTCCAGCCTACACTGGAGGTAGCCATCATTATCCCCACCGGCCAAACTCAATATTGAGCAGAAAGTTAAATACACAATGAAACAGTTTTTAAATTAACTTCTAAAACATCATCTGTGCCCACAAAAAATGTATAATAGTAATGATGGTAACTGCTATAATTTATTAAGGTCTACCATAATAATTGATTATTTTGATTCTCAACAATAACGCTATGAAGCAAATAATCTTTACAAATTTTATGGATGAAGAAACTACAGCATAGGGGTTAAGCAGACTTGTCTAAGGTCATCCAGTAAGTAAATAGTAGAACTAAGATTAGAACCTAGGTATAAATTACTCTAACACCTATACTACACACATTGCAATTGTACCCGTCTGTAGCAGTTGCAAGAAAAACAGGACAACATTGTTATTTATCAGTAATTCCACCCACCTTAATGGGATGGCAGAACTAGAAAAAGAGAAAGAAAAATCAGAGCTTGGGAAAGAGAAACAAGACAAAGAAGAAAATAAGATCAGAGATCTCCCTTCCTCCCTGCCCCAGGATACAAGTGGTACTTCTGTGTAATACTCTGTAGATGACTTTTGATTTCCAGAGACTTGGAGACTAATTTACTCTACAAATTTAGCCTATACTTACATTCTGAAAATATGCTAAACAATTTATTCTGCTCCCTGTCTACAACTTTTGGGAATCCAAGGTATTTTAATTGTATCTGATCACCTTTCTATGAAGGACATATCTTGTATCCTTTAGCAGGTATCTTGCTCCTTTCAGTGGTGAGAGAAATGACCCTGTCTTCCTCTGTGCTCTCCTTGTAATTTATGTTTCTTACATACCTTTTATTAAGGTTTAACTGGATTACATGTATTTCTTTCTTCCTTAATAGCAGTAAATGCCTTGTCTTGCTATCTTTATGTACCCTTACTCATAGTAGGCATATAATAAGTACAGAATCAAACTAAATTTCTTATAGAAGAAGTCAATAATACTGTTATATAGATCCTAATTTTATGACTCTTATGTAATGCATGGATTTATTTATTCCTTTATTTTATATATTTATAAGGGTACCTCCTATGTGTCATGTATTGTTCCAAGTGCTACAGACGCGGAGGTAGTGTATGAGAGAGACAAAGTCTTTCTGCTCTCATGGAGCTTGCATTCTAAGGTAGGAAGACAGCCAAAGAAAGATAGGCATTTAGTAGAGTACAACTTGGGATCAGAACAACCTTCCTGGAGAAGGTTACCCTTGAGTTGGATCTTAAAGAACAGACACAAGGAATATATTTTCAAAATTTGAAGCAAATGTAGTATGTCCCAAACTATGGTGTTTAAGAATTATTTCGAGAACTTAATTTGTATTCCAAAGCCCCGCCTCCAGAGATGTTTATTTCATTTGGTCTGGAGTGGAGTCCACAAATCTACATTTTATTAAGCTTTCCAGGAGATTCTGTGTGAGATACCCCAGTATAGAATATTGAGCTCAATACTGATAGCATTGTTTCAGTGTCCATAGA